CAACCACCCCCCCACCCCCCCTTCCCACACCGTCCCCTCCCAACTGTAAACATACCTGAACGTAGAGATACTCCCATTGATTCATCGAGTAGGTATTGGTGACGTCCAGGGTGGGAATCTTCACGTAGACGGTGGTCTGTTGCTCCGTGACGATGGTGATCACGTTGGTGCTGTCGTGGTCGTGGTTGGGGAGGAAAGACAACATGAAGGCCCTGCCCAGGTGGTTCCCATTGTGCGCCACACCTGGGGAACAACCAAAACGAAATGAATGGAACTGTTATTGGTACTAAATAATGAATAAATAAATAAATAAATTAATTTTTTTTTTAAATTAAAAAAATAAATTAATGAATAAATAAATAAATAAATTAATTACACTTTTATTTGTCCCAGAAAGGCACTTTGGTTTACAATGACAAACATACATACATATACATAGATTCATAATTATGAATATGTACATACATAAATAAACGCATAAATACATACATAAATACACAATATTACACAAATATATAACAGTTTACAACCATGCCAGAGTGTCTTGCTCAAGGACACACCCCAGTGACCACCCAACTGATCACCGTGTCACCGACACACACACACACACACACACACACACACACACACACACACACACACACACACAAACACACACACACACACACTCCAGTGACCACCCATCTAATCACACACACACAATAAAACTCATACAAACACACACACGGGGGCACACATGAGCAGACGAGAAGATCAACAACAAGAAGAAAGCAGAATACAAAGGGCTAGAAACAATCCCTCATCATCTTGCTCAGAAATATTAACGTGTTCTAGCATCCTGTTAAAGACAACATAAAAAAATCATTACTTCCATTTTTTTTTCATCTTTGACATTTACCCTCTAAAACATCAATCCTGACAGTTCGTCTCGGAAGCATATTTAATACGCTAGTGAAATGCGAGAAATGCGATGCCAAAGAAAAATGTTCAAGTTTCATTGTAGTCGTACCGTTTGAGAAAAGATAACAGCAAATTCATCTGTCATTGCGTGCGCTTATAGAGAGTGAGTTTGATAGGGCGTCTCAGCGAAAGATATTCGGAGATGTCTCCAGTGAGCACCAAGGAACTATTCCGAGACCCGCTCCCACACACAGATGCACTGGGGGGGGGGGTCAAACTGCGTATTGTTTGCTGCAGACCACACATATAGTCACTAAAACTGTCGTACACCAATTATTTTCAAGAGAATTTATTTCAAATCTAACTGCAAAATATCAAATTATGGGTAACCCCCCATATTTTTCATTGGTCTAGAAGCACATCACATTTATATTTTTGATTGGTCTATCTCCGTCGGAGTTACTGTGAGGCGCCTCAGCCATTAATTACTGGCAAATAGCAAGACTAAATAAAGGGCGGTCGAGATAGTGAAGGGCAGTTTGAGGTCAAACCAAAGATCATAACAAGATAGCTCACTCGGCCAAAAAAGTGTCCACAAAAGTCCGCGCATTTGTTCAGATGGCGCTGCAGTCTTTTCTTTTTTTTTTGGAGCTCTCTTTCGTTTCTCCGGAAGAAGAATAGGAATAGCACAGTTTGTTACTTTCGCTTTGATTGTTTTCCACACAAGTAGGTCTAGGGTAACTCTCATCGCAAAGTCTGCACTTTTTTGAAGAGGGCGCCACCGGATATTTTTGTAATTTGCTCAAAGAGAGGAGTGAGCAATCTTATTACGTACCATCTTTGTTCAAACCTGGATTCGATTGAGTTCAAAAGGCTCTGTCATCATACGTCACATTACATCAAGGCTTCCACTAATCAGCAAAGAAGTGGGTAATTGCACGAAACATAATATGCCCAATTGTTAAGTTTTGAACTTTAAGGTTATTTCAGGTGCGTCCTTGAGCAAGAAAAGAACAACCCTAGCTCAAAATACAGGGCGCTACACAGTGGTGACCAACAGTGGCATGGTTGTAAACTGTTCTGCATTTGTGTAATATTGTGTAATATTGTGTATTTATGTTTACGTCTTTATGCATGTTTATATGTACATACGTATTTATAATTATGTATTTATATATGTAAATGTATGTTTGCCATTGTAAACCAAAGCGCCCTTCCGTGACAAATGAAACTGTAATTTATTATTATTATTTTTTATTTTCAAAAGTGGGACCTCAGAATTTGACGTGCAACTCCAAGAGACGGAATCACATGGGACGATTCGTGTAAAGTGCCTTTCTCAAGGACATCATGTTAGACTGAGGTAAGACTCGAACCCCCGAACCCGCGCGTTTTTGTAAAAGTAAACTAATTGTAAGTTGTATGCCCCATGATACTATCTAGAAAATTCAGGAGGCGGGCTGCTTCGACCCTGCTAGTCAGAGCCAGCATACCCTGAAAAGGATACAACGTTCCAGCAGAAAGACGGAGATAAAACTTCTCCCCAAACAGGACTTGGTCTTATGTCTCCGGGGGCTCTCGTGGCCTAGAGGTTAAGGTGTTCGCCTCTCATTCAAAGGTCCTGGGTTCGAATTCCGGTTGCGATGGAAACATTTTCTTCTCTAAAATTGTCTCCTTTCACCGGCTTTCCTGCTTTCTAGCTATGTTCTGTCGTCTGCTTTCGTCTCCGCTTTCTGCCCCCACTCCCTCACCTCTTTTGCCTCTTCTTCTGGGCTCCTGACTCTTTCTGCAGCCTTTCTACTGCTACTCTTTGGCGCCTTCTTACTGCTGTCTTTCAGCCACGCTCCTGATTTTTGGTTTGGTAATATCTAACACCTAGTCTTCTCGGACAAGGGCGAAAAATTTCGAAAATCCCGTGTGCAAGTTGTGCACGTTAAAGACCCCTTAGTGGTCCAAAAAATCGATAAGTGTAGGCTTCGGGAGCCACCGGGCAAAATTTTAAAAATCCCTACCAACTGAAAATGATAAGTGTGTCCCGCGCGCTCATATGACCTCATGCAGTTGCGGGCGCCGTAAAACACTTACAAAACCCCCTCACAAAAACCCCTCATGTCTCCCGCGTGGGACAGCGAAGATCCTAACTGCTACATGACACACGCTGGTCTCATATCTTTGTTTCCGCGACACTCCAAGGCGTAGAACAGTTAGATCAATTACAGTTGCTTGCTTGCTTTGCTTTTGTAAGTGTTTTACGGCGCTCGCAACTGCATGGGTCATATGAGCGCGCGGGACACACAAAACGTTTTCAGTTGGTAGGAAATTTTGAATTTTGCCCGGGTGGCGGCCGAAGCCTACTCTTATCGATTTTAGACCACCAAGGGATCTTTAACGTGCACAACTTGCACACGGGACCTCCGAGATTTTTCGCCCTTGTCTGGGAAGGCTATGTGTAGATCTTTCCTACCAGAAGATCAGGGGTGTGGCTGAAAGACAGCAGTAAGAAGAAGCCAATGAGTAGCAGTAGAAAGGCTGCAGAAAGAGTCAGGAGCCCAGAGGAGGGGGCAAATGAGGTGAAGGGGGTGGGGGCAGAAAGAGGAGACGAAAGCAGACGACAGAACATTGCTAGAGAGTAGGAAAGGAGGTGAAAGGAGACAAATTTAGAGAAGAAAATTTTTTGGTCGCTACCCGGATTCGAACCCGGGACCTTTGAATGAGAGGCGAACACCTTAACCTCTAGGCCACGAGAGCCCCGTCAATTACAGTTGTCTATCCAAGTCCGCTCTAGCAAGTGAAAAGTACGAGGGAAAAACGACGGTTGTCACAAACTGGAAATTGTACGGGGGCCAATTTGAAAAACTTTTGGACTCCTAACTTCATATTTGTTTGACTGGTGGTTTATTGTTAAGTGTTGTTGAATGGGAAATCTAACAACGATATTCAACCAACAGTTGAACAGAAATACAGTTATGAGTCAACAAGTGTTCAAAATTGGTACACTCACGGTTTTCAGTTTGTGACTACAGTCGTTTTCCCCTGTAGTCCCCAAGTGTAAACCTGGGCTTCTAGTACTTTTTCTATGATCAGGGTATCAGTGGGTTCTGAAGGCAGGAAGATTCTGTAATAAGAGCTGAGATATTTGCGCTACTGAAACATAATTAACTCAAGATAATAATCTAAGATGTTACATAAATATTGTCGATGGGGACGTAAAACTTCAACGATTAACTTTTTTTCCGACGAAGACTTGGCACGTAACTTGAGAGTTTTCCAATTATGCGAGAACTGTGTACAGAGACATTCTCACAAAACAGCCATTACTTTGTTAATGCGTTGTTACATACATATCTTTCAATTTATTGTTTCTTCTTCTGAAATGTAAAATGTCGGGCCACAACATTCCCGCTCTAAGACATGCACCTTAGAACTACAAAGCTCTAACTGCTCAGTACCTAGTTTAGATGACATCAAAGATTTTGAATTTCAAACATGTCAAGCTCTTTCGAATGCATTAAAAAAAACCCCATCTTGATTTCCGAATAATTTTACGATTTTGATAAAGCAGATAGACCTTTTGTTTTGACGTCGTGGTCTTAGTAACTCAAAAAGGCCCAAAATCACTGACCTAAAAAGATAGTTTTAGGTCAGTGCCCAAGTTGTCAGATAGAACTGTGTAATTCTGAGACAGCGACCGTGCTGTTTGATTGGGGTATGATGACTCCAAATATACCACAGTACTGCCTTCTGTCTTCTTCTGCTGATCGGACATAATAATAATAGTAGTGCTAATAATAATTATAATAATAATATTAAATATTAACTATAATAATAATAATAACAATAATAATAATAATAATAATAATAATAATAATAATAATAATAACAATAATAATAATAACTATAATAATAATAATAATAATAATAATAATAAAAATAATAATAATAGTAATAATAATTATTTATAATAATTTTAATAATAAAAAAAAAATAAATAAATAAATAAATAATAATAATAATAATAATAATAATAATAATAATATAGTATTGTGTGTCTGTTAGCTCTTTAAAGACATGACAGATAGATACATTATCCTCCCCTCAAAAAAACAAAAACAAAATTAAATTTAAAAATACAAAATTCATTGTTAAAAGTAGGGCAAAAGCTTGGGAAGATATTTCACATCGTTTTCTCGAAATAATAGCCAATTACTAATACATAGCTACCATTTTGAATGCAGAAATACGTTCTTAAAATACTTTCTATCTCTTTAGTTATTTATTTAGTTGGGTTTTAAAAATTTCTTATGAGGGAAATATTTATTTTCCAAGTAAACGATCTGGGAGTCCAGCGACAGACTCAGGATTTGATCACTGGAGTCCGTGGTTGGTACAATCATTGCCGTTGTGTGTGTGTGTTTGTGTGTGTGTGTGTGTGTGTGTGTGTGTGTGTGTGTGTGTGTGTGTGTGTGAGAGAGAGAGAGAGAGAGTGCGTGTGAGCGTAAGTGTGTGTGTGTGTGCGTGCGCGTGTGTGTGTGTGTGTGTGTGTGTGTGTGTGTGTGCGTGTGTGTGTGTGTGTTTGTGTGTGTGTGTGTGTGTGCGCGCGCGTGTGGAATATTGTTCGTACATGCGTGTATGTAAAGCGCCTAGAGCTGTGTTCACACGGGAGTGGGCGCTATAGAAATGATCTACATTACCTACATTATCATAATCTGTCATGTGACTATGTGACTGTTCGCGAGATCGTAAAGGACACAATGGGTAATTAGTTATTGACATTTGGTTTTGAGAAATTTGATTAAGACAACGAGACTCCTAAAAAACAAAGTTCAGGCAAAAATGAAAGGAAATAGTAATGAGAGAGAGAGAGAGAGAGAGAGAGAGAGAGAGAGAGAGAGAGAGAGAGAGAGAGACAGAGACAGAGAGAGTGAGAGAGAGAGAGTGAGAGAGAGAGAGAGAGAGAGAGAGAGAGAGAGACAGAGACAGAGAGAGTGAGAGAGAGAGTGAGAGAGAGAGAGAGAGAAAGAGTGAGAGAGAGAGAAAG